TTTTTTAGGAAAACTTCCTGCAGCTACAGGGCAAAGCCATACTGCATTAATATTATCAAAGATTTCCTAATATTTGCTAATATGTGGAAATTTATGTCAGTTAAGTGCCAGATATAAATGTTGCTTTTATTTTATTACCTTTATTAAAGGATTTATTGTAACTGTGTTGTATTGGGTGAGTTGTTATTGACTGTTAGTCACATGACACGGTCTGGAGTATTTAACTGGGTACTCCAAGTTTGTGCTTATATCATCTCCTCTGTAATACAGCCATAATTTCTTTGTTGGTTTTCACCATTTCATGTTGTAATGGAAAATATACATTTCAGTTTAATACATTTCAATTTAATATTTCCAGCAGATTTCAGGTGTGATGCAGTAAGTTTTACAAAATGAATCCATATGTACTGATCCCGATGTTCAAAATAATACATTTGTTGTTCTGTTTTTATAGACTTTTCTACAGTTATGTGATTTTGATGTAAAATACTAAATGTGCTTGCATGTCTTAAACAAAAAGAATCAAAGTGATTAAGAAAATCATTTTTTTACATAGTGTACTTTTTTGATTTTTACTTTGATTTAAGAGGAAGTAACAAAAAATGTACTTCAACATTTATTAAATCCCCCGATACATTTCCCTTGGTGTATGTGTAAATTCATTGTTGATATTTGGAGCTGTTTACACTGATGACTGTGGCGTTGCCTTATGCACTATACTTGTCCTTGTCACGGACGCTACCTTTGTCAGTATTTTACTTTGTTATAAAACACAAAGGAAGGAAAAATACCATGAGTTATCCTTCTGCATTCTTGTCATGGTGAAAAAATACTGCAACAGCCAGTTTTCCATGTTGTTCTTTGTGTCTGTGTGTAATCCAGTTCAAGAAATAATTCTTAGCTTTACAGGTGAGACTTCAACTCAACTGGTGCAACTAAAGCAAAATCTCTTCCCTGTCAGTTTTGGTATAAATCTATATTTTAAAAAAATGAATTTTTGGTGTTCTTTTTTTATTCAATGCTATTTATATTCCTTATTATTCTGTTTTATTTTCTCTTTATATATAATTTTGCAGGTAATACAATAAAAGTAACAATAATAAATATAAATATATTGAAGTGTGTCTCGTATGCTTTTATTTTCCAGTAATACCTACAAAATAAATCATTAGATACTGCGACAGAATGAAATGCCATGACTGCAAACTTGGAAGAACGCTGACCTCGACAGAGCAATGATATATATTAAGGCAGCATCATTTTCAAAAGTCTGGAGGCAGAAATGACTCAATGATGTGATAATGCGATTGGGCTTGAGTACTGTTATTTTTCATTAACATGAGATTAGAGCAAGCGTTTAACCAGTAGGAATGTCACTAATTACATTTACTACTTTAATCCACTGTTACTTCATTTAGGTATTTCTATATTGTGCTCATTTGTGTTGCACCCGTGTTGTAGAGTGCTG